AGAGACAGAGCTGGGGAAGAGGGGTCCCCGTCGTCCCCCAGCCCCGCCACGCCTACCGTCATGGGCTGGTCTGCGGAGTCCAGAATGTCATCCATCACCTCGTTGGCAAAGGCCAGGCGGGCCTGCAGGGACTCGCGCTTCTTGAGCCCTGTGAGGTTGACCAGGTGGATCTTGAGCCAGTCGAGGCCGTGAGGGCCCAGTGGACGGCCCTCGGCAAACTGGAGCAGGGCACGGGCCAGGTCACCGCCCAGGTGGTTGAAGTGGGGCGGGCAGGGGTAGGTGCGGCCACGGAAGTCCATGTTGTGGGGGAGCCAGAAGACGCAGTGCCGCAGGTGGTGGGCCAATGAGAGGCGGTATAGGGCCTCCGCCCGCAGGCTGTGCATCTCGCGGGCCACCTTCAGGCAGCGGGCCAGCTCCCGCCGCACCTCGGCCTTGTGGGCGGGTGGGGTGCCAGGTGGTAGGCGGCACTCAGGTGGCCGGGGTGCCTCGGAGGGTGGCGGCGGAACGCCCAGGTGGGAGCAGCCCTTGGCCCTGAAGAGCTCCAGCACCAGGTCCAGCAGGTGCCCGTTGACACGCCAGGCGCAGTTACCCAGCTGTGTGAGGGCATCCAGGGCACCGTGCAGCGCAGCGGGAGGGCAGCACTCCAGCAGGTGCTGGTGCTGCATGGTGCCGTCTGCCGCGCGCATCAGCTTGGTGGGGCTCAGCAGGAAGGCACCAGCATGCGGTGAGGTCCAGGGCAGCGGAGGACACAGCATGGGCATGTCCACCGCTTCGAAGGTCAGCGTGGGCTCCGCCGCGGCTGCCAGCAGCTGCGTGAAGGCCGGGTGTGGCTTCAGGATGCCGATCTAGGGTGGGACAGGTGGGTGGTTAGGGGACTCCAGCTGGAGGCTTTGGCCACCCCTCCTCACACTCAGCTGAGAGGGTCCCCTCCGCAGCCAGGGGAAAACTAGTTTCCACTGGCAGAGCCAACTTTAAAAATAACCCCAACAACCACACTGCCTGCCCTGAGCACCTTCCACCCACAAGACACTTCATCCCAGGAGGCGGGCATGGAGGCAGGGTATGACCGACCGGTTGGAGGTCAGGCAGCCACCACAGAGGCACAGAGCGTTCCCAGGACTGGGGAGGGAGCCCCTCTCCTGGACCGCACCACCCAGAAACCCCAGTGCCACCCACCTGGCGGTAGCTGCGGAAGGAGTACACGTGGTAGAGCACTGGGATGAGCCGGCAGGCACCCTGGGGTGCGGCCAGGCTGCGGGGCATCTGTACGGCCTGCACCAGCATCTCAGCCAGCTGCTTGCCCAGCTGCACCAGCACTGGCAGGGGCCAGGGCTGCACAGGCGGGGCCTCAGGCACCCCCAGCGCCTCCCAGTACTGCCGTGGCAAGCAGGGCTCAGCCACCTGAGGGGGAGGGCTGGTCAGAGGTGCAGGTGGGTGCGGTTATCTCCATTTCACAGGTGGTGAAATTGTGGCTGGGCTTGGGCAGAGCTAGGGCAAGTCAGCTGCCCTGGGGAGGGAGGGCACCCAGGGCTGTTTCTTCCTGGGTGCCCCACCTCCCTGCTGGGCCCCCTCCCGGCCTCACCTGGGTGTCAGAGGCCAGCAGGTGCAGGTACTGCATGTAGTGCTGCTCCAGTGCCTGCACCTGCTTGTTGAGCTGCTTGCTGTGTACCACGTGCCGGTTGAAGGCCCGCATCCCCAGCTGGTGGGCCAGGGACAACAGGGACTCGCCCTGGGCTGGCAGTGCCTGCAGGGCCTGCATCAGCATCTGCACGAACTCCTGCTCGCTGAGCAGGCACAGGTGGGGGTAGAGCGTGGGGTGGCCTTCGTGGGCCTCGCGGGCCAGGCTGGCCTTGGTCTCCTGCAGCACCTGGTGCAGTGCGGCCTCCCACTGCACACGCAGGTTCTTCAGGGTCTTCCGCTGCAGGGGGAGGCAACACCACCCCGTCACTGCGGTGATGGCCAGCAGGACCCCCACCCACGAGCCCCAGGAGGAGCAGAGAAGCCTGCATGAGGCCCATGGGTGGCCATCAAGTCAGTGCCCAGCACGTCTCAGGCAACTTCTCACCCTAGCCTTCTCTTTAGCAGGTGGGTGGGCCCCAGTGTGACTGAGGAGACGGAGGGAAGAACCCACCCTCGGGAGCCCCAGCCTGGCTGAGCCCAGGGTCTGTCCCTCACCGCCTTCACGACCTCCTTGGTCATGGGTGAGGCCTTCTCCACAGACTCAACGTAGACAGTGGTACCGAGTTCCATGCGCAGCTGCTGCTGGAAGAGGCCCTGCAGAGTCTTCAGGGGCAGGTGCAGCTTTGGGTAGGACACGGTGCCGTCCTGTGGCACAGGCAGGTGGTGAGGCCGGACACACCTGGCCAACACCCAGCATGGCCCCTGCCCTCCTAGAACACCCCTCCGCCCCCAGCACAATTACATCCGCTTCTGCAAGTCTCCTGGAAGTAATTACCTCCATCGCTGAGGTTGGGGAAAAAGCAGGGAGAGGGACAGGGGGCACCACTGGGCACAAACAAAAGAGGGTCTGCCCAGCCTGGCCTCAACCTCTCTGGCTGAGGGAGGCAACCAGGGGCTGGCAGTACCCAGGGAGAAACTTCACTGTGTCCCCAGAAGTTTGCTGTTTTTCTTTTCACACTAGGAACCATGTAAATGTGTAGCCCATCCAGAAACAAAAAAAGTAGAAACTAAAACCCAGCACATGGAGAATTGAAAGCACACGTCCACGGCAACCAAGGCGTGGAAACCCAGGAGTCCGTCCACAGATGAGCAGACACATGCAGCATGGCCCAGCCATGCACGGGAACATCACTCAGCCACGAACAGCAACGAGGCTCTGACACACGCTACCATGTGGGTGAACCTTGAGGACACTGTGCTCAGTGACAGACACCAGACACAGAAGAACAAACAGTGTGTGATTCCACCCATAGGAGGTCCCGAGAGTCATCAGATCCACAGAGACAGAAAGTAGAATGGGGGGGTGCCAGGGGCTGGGGAGGGGATGGGAACTGGGTGTTTAATGGGGACAGAGTGTCAGTTTGGGAAGATGAGAAAGTTCTGGAACTAGATAGAGATGATGATTACACAACTCCACAAATGTACTAAAAACCACTGAATTATGCTTTAGAAGGGTAGATTCTGTGGCAGTTGAATCACACCTTGGGAGCCCTGAGGGCTAATGTCCCTGGTCCCTCAGGCCAGTGTCTCCCAGCTCTGGCTTGTCTGACCTTCTCAGAGCAGGAAGGGTGGAGCCCAGCGACGGGCCAGGTGAGGCCCCATGGGGGGCCTGGTGAGAGAGGACTGGCCTGACCACCCGGGTCTCACCCCCTGCGCAACACCTCCCTGAGTCCTCCCGCGGGTGTCAGGCCACGGGCTCACCTTGGCGTAGACCTCCCTGAGCAGTGTTGAGGTGTTGACAGGGGGCGGGGGCCGTGGTGGCGGGCTGAAGGTGGGCTTAGCCTTGACCACAGCCTTCAGGAGTGCAGCCCGCTCCTCTTCGGACAGGGCCACGCCTGTGAACAGCCCCTGCAGCTGCAGCCCGTCCTGGGTCATCTGCTGTAGGCACCTGAGGGTGGCACACAGTGGTGCTCAAGGGACTGGGCAGCCGCAAACTTGGCCCCTGCAGGGCCCACCCTGAGGGGGCCTAGTGACCACCTCATGCTTATTCTGCTGGCCAGCCCATGGCACTGTCACAGAACCCAAGTCACCTGTGGTGCCCCTGGGCAGGGCTGTGCCTACCTTCGGATGGTGTGGACGTCCTGGTCCAGCCGCCCCATGCACTGGAGGGCGGCTGCATAGGACACCAGGTCTGGAGTTAAGCCAGCGTCTTTCACCATGAAGAACACGTAAACCAGCCCTTTGAAGGAGCCCTGGGGAGACCGAGATGGGAGGGTCTGAGGGGATGGTCCGGCCTCCCCCGCCCCTCTGTTCCCTAGAGACCCCTTCTCTGTAGCTGTCAACTCAGGACCACTAGTGGCCCCTGTCTGGACAGAGACGGGCCTACCCGATGTTCCTGTGCTCGGCAAGGAGGCCACACGGCCGCCGGGCAAGACCGACCGTGAGGAGGTTCATGTTCTCGGGGCAGGGACTCATCAATGTTTTTTAATCTTTTTACTTTCTGGAAATGCACATGCATGACTTGGGGGCTGCTACCAACCGACCCCTTTCCAGGTCAGCCTAGCTGAAGGTTTCTGCCAATGTTGTCGATCTTTTCAAATGACTGACTTCTGGTTTTACTGACTCACTACCACTTCTCTCTCTCTCATTTATCCCTGTCTCGGTCTTTATGGCTTCCTTTCGTCCCTTGCTGTGGGTTCCATGGACAGCCTTTCTCCTGGGTTCCCAAGCTGGAGACTGTGTCACTGCTTTGCAATCCTTTGCCTCTCTCAGTGTGGGCGCTTGTGGCTACAGGTTTCCCTCTGAGTGCTGCTTTGGCTGCCTCTCCTAATTTGCAGCAGGTGGTGTTTCCATTTTCACCACATGTTTCCTAATTTCCCTTGCAATTTCCTCTTTGACCCCTTGTCTGCTTAGGAAGCTGCCTAGGATCTGTTGCAGACTCTTTCTTTTTTTTTTTTTTTTAAAAAGATGACCAGTAAGGGGATCTTAAGCCTCGACTTGGTGTTATCAGCACCATGCTCTCCCGAGTGAGCCACGGGCCAGCCCTTGTTGCAGACTTTTTCGAAGGTAAAAAAACAAACTTCCCAACATCCTCCCACCCTAACTTGTAGCCCTAACTTGAGAAGTGCTGTCTCAAGAGGGAACGACAGCTCTGAGACCTGGGTTTTAGTGGAGTCCTCTGGATGACCTCAGCTCGGCTGCCCAATGTGACAGTCACCGGCCACACAGTCCTTTAATTTGAATTTAAATTGAACATCCTATTCTTCCATCACCCGGCCAAGTTCCAAGTGTTCTGATCATCCTGCAGCCACACGTGGCTGGTGGCAGATGTGGTGCACTCCAGGTAGCTCTGGTCAAGAACAGGCACATCTGTCCTTCCTTATTCTCATTCAGTGCAGGCTGAGCTACCAAAAATCCAAAATCTGAAATGCTCCAAGATCCCGAACTTTTTGAGAGCTGACATGATCCTCAAAGGAAATGCTCTCTGGGAGCATTTTGGACTTTGGATTTTTGGATTAAGGATACGCAACCGGTTACACATCTGCAAATATTCCAAAATCTGAAACACTTCTGGTCCCAGACATTTCAGGCAAAGAACACCCCACCTGTAATATTATCATCAAGATGAAAACACACATTTAAAATTTCACAGGGGCTGGCTGGTTAGCTCCTCTGGTTAGAGCGCAACCTTGAAACACCAAGGTCACGGGTTTGGATCCCTGTACTGGTTAGCTGCCCAAAATAAATAATAAAATAAAATTTCATGTATTTTCTACGCCGCTCTCCTAAACACGTCCTCAGAAGCCCTACATTAGGTCTCTCACTCCTTCCAAGAACTCAGTGAATTTCTCTCTTTTAGAGAAGGGGAAACCAAGGCTCAGGGAGAACTGACTGGGTATGAGCTGCCCAGTGAGCAAGTGGCAGAAACGGGACCCAAACTCAGGTCCTGTTGACAGACAAGCACCACCCTGCATACATCAGGCCCCAGAAACGATCACTTAGGAGCCAGCGCTGCCCAGGAGGAGCAGGCAGTCACTTGGAAGAACTGTGCCTGAATGACAAGGGCCGATCAGCGTCCCCCAAAATTCACATCCACCCAGAACCTTGGAATGTGGCCTTGGAAATAGGGTCTGAGGCTGGCCGGTTAGCTTGCTTGGTTAGAGTGCGGTGTTATAACACCAAGGTCAAGGGTTCGTTCCCTATGAGACATGTAAAGAGACAGCCATGTGATGACAGAAGCAGAAATTGAAGTGATGTGTCCACAAGCCAAGGGGCACCAAGACTGCCTGCAGCCACCAGCAGCTGGGAGAGGCACGAAGGACCCTTCCCTGGAGCCCCTGGTGGGAGCACGGCCCTGCCACACCTGGATCTCGGACTTCTGGCCGCCAGAACTGTAACAACATATTTCTGTTGTTCTAAGCTACCAAGTTTATGATACTTTGTTACAGCAGCCCCAAGAAACTCATACACAGGCTAAAAGTCCTGCTGTATACAGGGGCTCTTTGCCAGGGGGAGTTTAGAGGATCCGAGACCTTGGATGGGAAAGAAGCACTACTCTTATGCCCGGTAACCCCTGGAATTTGGTGCACCTCCAGCCTCATTAGGAATGTGCACGGCAACCAGCCTCTCCGAGGCCCTGCAGACGTGAAATCCCACGAGTTACTGGATCTGCTCGCTCCTGGACTGATCATTTGATGCGTCAGCAAAGTACATCACACTCCCTACCACAGATCCGTCTTAATATTTTGCTAAGTCTTTCTTAACATGATCAATTTCCTTTGTTTACCTAAGTATCAGACAAGGTTTTACTGTTTCTCAAATTAGGGTTGAAGAGTCAAGGGGTGGGAGAATGTTGGGGATTTTTTTCCCTTAAAAAGGTCTGTAAAAATCACTCACCTGGGCCCGCCCGTGGCTCACTCGGGAGAGTGCGGTGCTGACAACACCATGGCCACGGGTTCGGATCCCATATAGGGATGGCCGGTTTGCTCACTTGGGAGAGCGTGGTGCTGACAACAAGTCAAGGGTTAAGATCCCCTTACCGGTCATCTTTTATAAAAAAAAAACAAAACAAACAAAAAAAAACACTCACCTAAACAATCAAGGAGTCAAAGAAGAAATGGGGGGGTGGGAGAGGGGCGGTTAGAAAATGCTCTAGATGAATCAAAAGCAAAACACAAGGACACAACTAGCACAGCACTCGGAGGAAACCGACAGCTGCAGACACCTGTGTTGACAAAGAGGGATCGCCAAACCCCGAGCCGACCTTCCACCTGAGAAAGCCAGAAAGACTAGCAGACCAAACCTAAAGCCCCTCTGCCACTATCCGTGGGGGTCTGTGCACGGCCCTGGGTGCCAAAAGCACCCCCTGCCAGGCAGCTCCAGAGGCCCTGTGCAAGAAAGACCAAGAGGGAACGCACTGGAACAGTACCAGACACTTTCCCTTCTACTTTTGGTCACTTTCAAAACTTCCTTTCAGGGCCACACGCAATTTCTAGGGTTCAGGTCTCAGTGAGGGCCAGTCCCATCCCTGGGCCCCTGCCTGCTACTCACCTGGCGGGCCCAGCCCAGCATGACGGTGTTGTACATGGCGAGTGTGAGCAGCCGCTGCTTCCGCGGCCTGCTGTGGTGGGTGACCAGCACGTGGTGGGCAAGGGGCAGGTGGCCGGTGAGCAGGCAGCACTCCAGAAAGGACAGCAGCTTCTGCTGCGGCCCAGTGAGCTGCGGCCCAGCGGGCTGCGGTCCGGCGGGCTGCGCCTCTGCCCTCCTGCGCCTCTTCCTGCGCACCAGTGCCTGCTCCTCCTCGTGGCTCAGCCTCTGTGGGGTCTCCTGCAGCACCTGGGCCAGTTGCTCCTCCCAGGGGCTCTCCGGGATCCCGTGCGTGAAGCGCCGCAGGCAGTCAGCCAGGGGCCCGTGCTGCAGCTGGGGCTCCACCCGCAGGGGCTTGGGCTGCAGCTTGCGGGCCAGCTGCTCAGCTTGCATCTCCAGCTTCACCTCCAGCCGCTCCTTGCGCTTCTGCATGGTCCGCTTCTCCCTGTTCAGCTTTTCTGCCCAGCGGCCACAGGGTCCCATCAGGACCTTTCTGGGTGGCTGGAAGCCGCCACCCCCGCCAGCGTTCTCTGGGAGTCGGGCCACATCCACCTTCTTCACGGTCACCTCCGACACGCTCTCAGCCTGCAGCTGCCGCACGCGTGCCTCCAGCACTGTGTGGGGCAAAGGGAGAGGATGTCAGGGGGACCCCCTTCCCGTGCAGGCACTGACCTCTCCAGACCCTGGTCAGGAGGCCTCAATTCCGTGTGGTGGCTGTCGACTCCCTAACCTGCGTCTCCCCCGCCCCAGCTGCCACCCGACTTCAGATATGTGTGCCCCCCACTCCACCCTGACCCCTCCACATGAGCACTTCACACGTCCCAAAAAGCTCTGGTGTCCCCTGTCACTGGCAGCTCTGTCCCTCCAGGGACTCAGGCCGAGAACCCAGGGTCACCTACACTCCCCTGCACATCACGCCTGTCAGCACAATCTCTGGCCCTGCCTTCAAAATCTATCCGGGGACCTGTCACCTCCCCCTGCTCCAGCCCTGAATGGCTTCACTGTCTTACCTCAGGGCCTTTGCATGTGCTGTGCCCTCTGCCCAGAATGCGTCCGCCCTGACCCTAAACTGACTATTCTCAATCTCGACCCTGCCTGACAGGTGCCACTTTGTGTGTGCTGGGTTCCCGTGGCTCACGCTAGTTCCTTCGTATAAAGCTGCTGCTAACAGAGTTGGCGATTGCCAAGCCACTGCCCCTAGGGGAAACACAGGGTCAGGTTCCTGCAGTCCGTGGTCACAGCTCTGTCAACTGATCAACACGTAACTCAGCCTCATGAGTTTCTGCTTAAAGACGCTTTATTTAATGTATATTGCTGACTTGCTGGCACGGAGCTCACAGCCGGCAGCCCCGTAAGTCACACCTGGAGGAAGGCAATCCGCAGGCATACTTTGTTCATAAGGCACACCACAGCATGACCCACGGGGCCACTGTACACAGCAAAATCACCAACAAAAAGCAAAAAAAATGCAAAAACATGGCACCAAACATGCCACGAAAAGGACCCTTGTACTGTGCAGTATGAGCTGAAACAGGAGGCTGAGGCCACCTCCTTCAGCCTCTGCTGAGGGCGTGCACTTGATACGATTCAAATTCTTTGCCACTCTGCACGTGTCTGCTCACGACTGGGAAAGCCCTGTGAGGACTGATTGGGGGTTATAAATAAATTTTAGCAAATAGGCAAATCCCCACGTGTGGAATCCTGGAATAACGAGGACCACCTGGATGTGTGCTCAGCTTCTCGCGTCTCCCTCACCAGAACGTCCACCATGAGAAGAGGGAATGTTGGCTGCGTTCATGGCTGAGGGCTGGCACAGGCAGGGACTCAATAGAGACGTGTTGAAATTAAGTAAAAAGACAAGGTGATCTCGGCCCGTGGTGGGAAGAAAATGAGGCAGTCATGAGGTGGAGTGGGATGTGGGTACAGGCCTCCTCCCGAGGCAGTGACATCTGACCTGAGAGGCACCAATTCTGCATAGAGCCAGGGGACAGGCAAGTACAAAGGCCCTGAGACAGGTGCAACTCGTCCAACAGAGGCAGAGAAGGTGAGCAAAGGCCACAGAGGTCTTTGGCCTGGGGCGGGAGTTTAGAGTTTATTTTGCAAGCGAGAAGAGACCACTGGAGAGCGACATGATGTGATTTAAGTTTCCAGAATTTTCTTCTGGTCACATAATACGACATCTGGGCTTTACTTTAAAATAATTGGGGGCGGGAGCTAGCCAGTTAGCTCAGGTGGTTAGAGCATGGCGTTATAACACCAAGGCCAACGGTTTGGATCCCCATACAGGCTTGCCACCAAAAAATAACCTAATTAAAGTGAAAAAAAAAAAATCATTAGGTGGGCAGGAAAAGAAGTAGGGTTGCTGTTGAAGCTAGTGGCTGACTGAACTTGCGTCTTTAGTTTCGTACACCGGAATTTTCTGTAATAAGCTCTTCTCTTTCTAAAGGACCCCCTTTTCCCTTCCTGGCCGGCTGTGGGGCATGAGGGGAAGCAAACAGTGGCCGCCCCTACCCAAGGTTCAAATCCTGCCTCTGCCCGTGCAGCTGCGAGTGGCCTGGGGAGTCTCTCCGCGTATAACTTTGGGCTCAGCTGTCTCCCGGGAATAGGGGCGCTCCAGATGGGAACTGCCATTACCCCAGTATATGGACTGAACCTCAGTTTCTTCCCTGTATGATGGGGAGCCCATCTCCTTCTGATGAGGTCACTGTGAGGAACCAGCAGAGGGGACACAAGAGATGCGAGGAAGGGGCTTCAAGCCCCAAGCTTGGGGATCAGGGCTCACCCTCCAGCAGCTCCGCGTGGCCCCAGTCCTTCCGGCGGTCTTGCTCACAGGGGCTGGCGGACGAGCTCCTTCTGGGGCCCCAGATGCCCCCAAGGGTCCCTGCGGAAGAAAAGGGAGAGACTGAAGGGGGCCAGGCATCTGGGGAGGGTCCTCATATGGACGTAAGTCGCAGGACCAGAGAGCAAAGGGGCCCTGAATTCAGTGGAAGCTGTCAGTTCTGGGGGTCTCAAATTGCAAAGAAACCAAGAGGTCACAGGTGGAGGGGGCCTGACACTCTGATGAAACTGGGGCGTGGGTCGTGGACGGAGAGTCCTCGAACTGAAGGTAGGTTCAAAGGCCAAGAGCCCTAAATCCCAAACAGGGGGTCAGGGGACTCCAAAAGAAACCAAGCGTCAAAGGTCAAAGTGCCCTGTCGACCCCGTCAGGTAAGCGAGACACAAGCAGTGAAATGCGGGGCCGAGTTGGTGGGTTCCCCAGAACCTCTAGGGGCAAAGGGCAAAGGTAGGGGTTAACGGGAGCCCGGGGGCGCTCAAAGCCGAAGGTCACGGCCGCGGGGCGGGAGGGGCGGCTGCCGCGGCGTCGGCCTCGAGCCGCCGGGCGCCACCCGCGTTACCTTCCTCGGCCGGGGGACCGGGGCGGCTCCGGGAGCGCAGGGCCCACCCCAGTCCCGCCGCACCGCGGCCCCAGCGAAGCGCCGACATGCCCATGCGGCCCGCCGCCGGCCCCACCACACCCGCGCATGCGCGCGCGCCGCTCGCCGGGAGTTGTGGTTCCGCGGCCGACGGCAGCTGCGAAGGGACGCCCCAGCCGGAAAGTGAACCACCTGAACTACAACTCCCAGGAGGCAGCGGGGTTCAAGTGGCGCGAGAGCATGCGCCGGCGGAGCCCTCTGATTGGCTGTTTCCTTTGCGCTCAAGGAAGGATGGTACAGAGCCGTTGCCGTGGCAACTCGGGTGCATCTAAGGCCGGTTTTGGCAGGACGCAGAATCTGGATTTTTTTTTTTTTTTAAGAAGGAATACTCACCTATAATTAGGACAGCGTGCTGCAATTTAGAGATTCCTGTCCGCAACTTCCTTGATCCAACAACAACTGTGGGGTGTGAGCTATCACTGTCCCCAGTTTATTGCGGAGGAAGCTGAGGTTCAGAGAGGTCGATCAAGTTGCCAAAGACACACAGCATGGACATTAAGGAGGTTGGACATTTTTCTGTTACTCCCTCCAGCCTCAGTTTACCCATTAATCCCCAAGCCTCCAATGATGGGGCAGAATGGAGCAGAAAGAGTGGATTAAGGGTTGGTGGGTTAGCTCAGTTGGTCAGAGCACGGTGCTCAGAACACCAAGGTGCAGGGTTCCATCCCTGTACTGGCCAGCCGCCTGAAAAAAAAAAGGAGCAAATTAACCTGCTAACTGGGGAGATGAAAAATGCAATGAAATGATTCCTGGAGACTGGATCCAGCCCTGGCCTTTGGGCGATACCCCACAGGAATAGGCAAGGCCAGAGCTTTAAGATCAAACCCAGAAGTCATGCCCATCTGTCGTTCAGTTGGGGAAACTGAGACTCAGAGAGAGGACCCCCCGGTCTGGGCCCAGCTGGCATGTGAAGGATGAGACTAGGAATGTCTGAGGTCATCATGTTCCAGGCAGGTGTCAGTGTGTGCAAAGGCCCCAAGGCAGGAGTAAGCAGAGTGAGGGCTGGGGAGAGGAAGCAAAGACCCAGCTAGAGGGTGCTCAGGAGCCAGACCACCCTGGGCCTCAGGGTCCTCGGCCCCAGATGACACCAGATACTTGGACTTCGGTTTCCCTGTCAGCCGAGAGTTAAGAGTAGACCTGTGCCCTGGACAGGCAGCCTCCCAGGCTTGGTGGCCTCCTGACAGCACATTCCAGATGCAGCTGCCCACGCAGCCCTGCGCATGGTGATGCCACCGGCCAGGAATGTTTTCACCAGACAGCAGCATCCTCCCTAACCTGCCTCAGCCCACCCGAAGGTGCCCAGGGAGGTGTGACCTCAAACCTGACTCACTCCTGGGGTCGCCTTCCTGGCCCCCAGGGGCTGAGCCAGCTAGGCCTGGTCCCGCAAGACCTAGAGACACCTCCTGGCACACCTGTAGCCTGGCAGAGCCAGGAACCTGGTGTAAGCCAAGACTCCTGAATTCTTTCATCGTTATCGGACCAGGATTTCCCTAAGAACCAGGTTCCTGAATCTTAGCAGTGAGTTAGTCCCCTTTCCATGCCCATGCAGACCTCCTGGGGAGCCTCGCTTAGGGCCGCCAGTGTTGAACACCTGTTGCAGCACCCAGGCTCATATTGAATCCATATGTGATTTCTCACCTTGCTCTCTTTTTGTTTATTTCTTTTTTAAAAAATTCGGGTTGGTGGGGGGTGTGTGGCTGGCCAGGGGATCTGAACCCTTGACCTTGGTGTTATAACACTGTGCTCTAACCAACTCAGCTGACCCGCCAGCTCCTAAATCTCCTTCTGATAAGGACACTTGTGATGGTATTTAAGACGCACAAGGATAATTTCCTCATTTGAAGACCTTAATTGCATTCGTCAAGACTCTTTTTCCAAATAAAGTGAACTTCACAGGTTCTGGGGATTATGATGTTGCTGTGGATTGAATGTCCCCCCGAAACTCAATAGAACTTGACCCACGTTGTAAGAGTGTTAAGAGGGTGGGAAAGCCAATCATAATATTTGAAAGGTGGGGCCTTAAGCGGTCCAGGGTTTGGTCCCTGTACTAGCCAGCCAAAAAAAGTAATCAAGGAATCCAGAAATACAGTGTATAAGTGTTCATTGTACTGTTTTTACAACTTTTTTCTAGGACCGAAGTCTTTCAAACAACCGTAATAACATGCCACTTTAACCCACTAGTATGGCCATAATCAAAAGGACAGCCAATAAGAAGCGTTGACAAGGACGTGGAGAGATCAGAGCCCTCCTGTGTTGCTCGTGGGAATGTAAAATGTGCAGCCGCTGCGGAACACAGTTTGGCACTTTCTCAAAAAGCTAAACATGGGGCCGGCCCGGTGGCGCACCGCTACAGTGCGCTGCTTGGGAAGCGTGGTGGCGCTCCCGCCGAGGGTTCGGATCCCACATACAGACCGGTTCCCGCTCACTGGCTGAGCGAGGTGCGGGTGCAACACCGAGGGGTGTGATCCCGCTGCCGGTCCCGAAAAAAGACAGAAAGGAAAA